GACGGACCACGGTGAAGCCACAATGAGTCCGAAACTTAACGGTAAAAAAAATGCATTTACATCACAGGGCAGCAAATTAGCAGCACAATGTACTGACTTTGTTCATGAACTAACTGACAAAATAATCGAGCTAGTGCAGGCTGAATGCCTCTGTCCTGAACAATCATCAAACTGTAGCTGAGAATAAGGTTGAGGGTCTTTGGGGACTGGAAAAAGCTGAATAGGACACAACATGTCCTCAAGCTGTTGGCGCTGAGAAGTAAAGGGAACGACTTAAGTAGAAAAACATCTTTGTAACACAATGGAGAAAAGAAAGTGGCTTTCTCGAGTGAACAATTTTTTCATCACTATGTATGTATGTATGTATGTATGTACGTATGTATGTCCTCAAACCACTATGCTGAATAACTTGATATAACAAATTACAGACAGCAAATTCACATCAATTCACAGAGAACAAAATCAAATAAGCCAAATGAAGTTGAAGGAAATGGCCCAAAACTTGATGATGGTGCAGTTGTGTTAACTGTATTTAAGTGTATCAGTTCAGACGCATTACTATAAAAACAAAACAAAACAAAAAAAGACTGGACATTAACACATGCATGTTCTCAATGACATGTGTAACAAAGCATACAGAGGTGGCAGACTTGTTCTAAAAGTTGCTGACTGAATAATTCTAAGGTTCGCCGACAGCTGTTAGCCGGATACTGAAGCGAGATTGTTATTAACTCGTCAGTCGCCCCAAACAGGGACTCTTGAGTAAAGTAATTAGCCCCAAATTGCTGTAGGAATGCTGCAATGCGCACTACTTTGTGCTGTGTCCTTACTGAAGAAATGCACTTGAGGAAGGGATGCATGTGTGTCTGAAAGCAACACTACAGTACTCAGTTACATAAGAAAACAGAAAAAAAGAGAGCAGGGTGTTTTTTGGGGGGGTGTATTAGGCCAAGGATTCACATGAGTAAATATGGCACACAGCGTGACACAAACACAAACTGTCACGCCAGCTGCCCACCTATACTACAACCAATCATAATATCGAAGGGCTCCGTGGATACAACTGGTAAATTAAGGCAGAAGAACACCAGTCTCATCAGGACACATATACAAGACATGACATCTTACCGGACTACTTTTCACATAAAGCTACACGTGCTTTCGCTTCATTATCTCAGCTCCATTATTATAGGAATTATTTAAATCAAGTGACAATAGAGTGTACCGAAAAAGCATCCAATTCTTTCTTTTCATAACATTAGAAGAATTTATGTAGACTAATGGCCCTTTTATGCTGTCAGTGAGGATGAAACATTAACAATCTCCAACATTCAAGATCAGAAAGAAGGTAAATTCTTACCTTGTGTTGCAAAGTTGACTGCCAGCAAAGTATTTAGGACCTTGCCAAAATTGTCACCAGTGTATAACCACTCTGGTTCAAACACCTGGATGGAAAATTTCAAAAGGTCAAAATTAGATCTTTTCTTCCCCTTCCCCCTCTGATTAAATAGATCTGAGTAGGAATGCTTTTTTAGTGCATACATCCACAGCTAGAGAGACAGAGACACTCACTCCAGGTTATTGCACAAACAATGGAAAGAGACACACATAATGAAATGCACACAGGGATTTGAATAAGCCTCTAACAAGACAGAGAAAAACTGACATGTTGAGTATGACCCATATTCTGTGTCTTAGCGGTTTGTAATAAAACAGGCAGCGTTGCAGGCACACACAGATGCTCACTCGCACACTGCTGCTCGGTCAGTCTCAGCCAGCTATCTTCTTTCCTCCAGTGGATAAGGTTTCACATTTTAAATAAAACATCTTAAATATAGTGTTTGAGTAGTATAACCTGCATCATGAGTCGTGTACAACATCTTTAAGTGTGATCATTACATCGCTTAATGTGGGACGAGCCTTAGGGTCGATGTAACTAACAAGACTTGCGCTACAAGTTGAAAAAAACATAAGGAAAAAACATAACATTACCTTTACAAATACTGGCTTTACATCACCAAAAGCAAAACAAACCGTTGGTCATCACGATAACTGTTGCCAGCATTCACAAAAGTTTTGGCAGGGGTCGGTAGTTTCAGTGAAAATGTATTTATGAGCGTAAAAATCAGAGCAAATAAATCTTCACGTAGAGTTAATAACACAGAACAAATATTGGAGAGCCCCAACAGTAATTGATGCTTCCTCTTTCTGCATCTCGGAGCAGAAGTGAAAGCAGAATTACTGCTTTCTCCAGTCACAGGACAAACAGGCATTATCAGCTATAGCAAAAAGGGATGAAAAGTCCTCTTAACATGATCACATCACTGACCAAAGGATGGGCGAGGTTTGCCATAATGCCACACAGACATCCCCTGGCTGCTACATTTAATAGCGCCTCTCCAAAAACTTCTGCCCATGAGCTACTGGCTGACTGCAAAAGGTCTAATTATGGGCTAGGGCACAGTTGGTGGATAAAAGCAAAGGGGACCTCCCAGACATAACAAGCCAGCTGGGCAGACCTACTGAACCACTTGACTTTGCAGTCAGCCAGCCTTGCTGACTCAATTGGCCATTTTAAAGAAACCAAGCGTTGTAATTCAAGACCAAAAAATATTATTTTTAAAGCTGGAAGAGACATTAACGTCCAGTGTGGTGGTAACAAACAGGCTGGTACAGAGACAGAGTAACCGCCCAACATCTGGAAAAGATACACCACTTTTCAATATTAGGGAATGCACTGAGCGAAACAGCACTGCTTTGGGGATTTTTGACCTGCAGCAAAACTAACCATTAAGTCACGAGTGCATGCAGGAGAAAATTTATTAACAAGGAAGTAAATGCTGTTCAAAACTAAGTTGTACCAGTTTGAAAACAGACAGTGAAGTCATGCGGGCCAGCACTTCACTTCCTGACTGATTAGTGGGAGTGAGTGACAGCATGTCTGTTTATATGTCTCACTCCACATGGACGTGAGGGGAAAGCATATGCCAGCAGGGTAAGCAGATCACAACACAAGCAAGAGTGTGTTCACATCTTGCAGTAGACAGGAGATAACGGCAGAGTGAGCTCAGTGTATTTCAACAAAACATGCCTCTGAATATAAAACTTGACAGACCACACATTGAGATAACTTACCTCCACTTTCAAGGACGAGCATCCTTTTAAAAACTCCTTGATGTTGGAAATGCAGTCTGCTTCAGTTCTCGGGTCCTGGCAATACTGAGTACACGAAATAAATATATAAACACATACCTCGGCTTAGTATGTCAAAGAGGCATCTGACACACTTATCAAACGCTCAAGGCCAAAGCTACAAATCACTTCGGTACACACTGAGCCCCGCAGTAAGTAAGAGAGATGCCGCAATCCGACTGTGGCAACCTAAAGTTAAGAAAATAACTGTAGATTCTTCCTGCGTCTCCTTCATGCATATATAACCATTACCACCACAAAACCGCCGTCAAAATAGCCTTACTCAAGCAACTTCCGCTCATTTTTACAGTTTCAAAATAAAATCCCCACCGACGAAAAAAAAGCTGACGTTTGTATTTTTTTAAGCAAACTTCTAACAGTTCCCGTGAGACCAATGTAGTACTGCCACAGAGAATGTATGTAAAACTAGGGTGATCGGTCTGCCATACAAAGGAGAAGTTACTACTTCCGATTTTGTTTCGGGCTCGCGTTGTCGCCGCTTTGCGCTTTTTTTTCTTTTCTTTTTTTTTCTTCAAAGGGGAGGTCGCACCGGGAAGAGCAGCCGCTCAGGAGGAAGTGACGAACTGTCTTTGCAACTGTTATTTATCACTATCAACTTTGCCATCTATAACAGTGAACACAAGTTGTGATAAAATCTATCACCTTTAAAAAAGGACACAAACAGTGTGGCGAAACTCTCCGTTTGTTCTGGACAGTACGGCCTATGTGCAATGTTTAGCGCACACTTGCTACTCAATTTGCCCTGTTTTGGTGGGTGTCCACACTGACTCGCACCTCTCAAGAATGCGGAACATTTCTGTCGCTTCACAGGAAACCATATCGTGTATTCACAAGTCTGAAACTCTCTAACTGTTGTTGTCGTTTTTGAGGCGACACCTATCGCACAAAACGGTCACAGACGGCTGTTCAAACTTCATGGTTCGAGTTCAGTGAGCTACAAAATCGCAAAGGCCTGCTGGAGGGAGAAGTTCTCGTCGGTATCACTTTAATCAAACCCCTCCCTTCTTTTCACCGTCGACGGATCTTTTGGCATTTGTTGACTCGAGTTAGCTTAAATCAATAACTCACCTTGGGAGTGAAGCCAGGTACGAGGCGCTCCGAGAGCTTGCACAGGACGACTCCATCCTTGAGCGAGGTTTTCAAAAACTCCTCCGGATCCGCTATGTTCTTTTTAGGCGAGCTAAGCACTCCTAATGATATCAACCACGTTACAGTCTGCTCCTCTGGATTCATAGCTCCACGAAATGACCATTGCCTAAGCCTGCATTACTTTAATTTAAAAAAGAAAAAAGCTGGCGTCCTGTTCCGTATCAATATGCAACTCACATCCGCACTTCTGCTAGAAGTTTAAAAAAAAAAAGAGGCGGAGGGGGAACGACGACGCTGTGTTTCTACACGCAAAACTGATGATCACCCCTACTGGCAAATAGGCACCTCAACAATAGTTTTTTTCCCGTCTTCCCCCTCTGCAAAGTAGCACATGCTAGTAGAGGGCAATCATATTACATACTGAAATGCTGCAAGGCTCAGAAAACCGATATATGCAAATTGCATACTGATAACTCAGAAGAGGCAACTATTTAAGTCTAATATAATAAAGAGTAATAACTTCAACATAATTGGGTCAAATTTTTTTCAAATATGGAAAATGGGTCATCTGCCACAGGAAGCCTTATATGGGGGAAAATGTGATATTTGCAATGAGTGTCTTGGCTAAAAAAAAAAAAAAAAAAGTTTAGTCATGGCCAAAATCTTAAATTTCAGGACAACAAAACAGCAAACGGAAAACCTCTTCAAAGCTTTTATTGAAAACAGTACAAAGTTCATTTGATGGCTGTACATTTCTCCCACTTTCAATGCGTTGCTCAATACGAAGATTCAGCCCGACCTCTGAACAGAAAGCTGTGCCAGCATCTGAAAGACAGCAAAAGAAATAAAAAAGTTAAATTTAACAACAATATCATTTGTCCAACAAACTTGGGAGTTTTTTGCATAATTTCAGATTATTTTTTACAAATTATACACACACACACAATAATATACACAGCAGCCATAACAGGACTTTCAGGAAGTAATCTAAAAAGAAAATAGTACAGAGTCACAACAGGACTCAACCAACTTAGTTTTGTTTGTTGCATTTAGTGAGCCAAACAGGAACTTCCTCATAGCACCGCATAAAAAAAAGGTTCAAATGTTTTGTACAGAACTAAGTATATTTGATATCTCAAATTATTTTCCTCCTAGCATCTTAAAAACAAACTAAATTCTTTTGGCATATCAAACCATTTTCAAAAACACAGGTTGGTATCAAAGTGCCCTGCATAACTCTACTTTCTAGGATTCTCTAAATTCCCATTTTACATTAATAAGTTACAGAAAATAATGCAAGTAAAAGAAAACAAACATACCTAACATGCAGAAAATACAAAAAGGTATTAAAATAATCATAATGCCCACTGTAGTCAATTACTGAAGATTTTACTTTACATCATTAGTGATGCTGACAGGCTCACATGGATTTTAAAACACATTGTGTTCATCATTTGGGGCAAAATTGCTGTAAAATGTCTCAGCAGTAAAAGTTGTCCACCCCATCTTAATTGTGTACAGGTAGATAAAGACTTACTAGTCTGTTAGACATGGTTATGCGGATGCACTGTAGCTCAACTAGTCCAGGACTTGAAGACATTCAGATATGTTGAAAGGGCAATTGCCTTGAAGCAATGTTCATCCTGCAATGAGATCATCATATTAGTATGGGGCTTTTTTCTTAATTATGTATTATGAGGTAATTGAAAATTATATTGTTGTCCTTGGTCCAACTGTACATTAGTTTCATTGTTTTCCGGTTTGGCAGTTGGGATGATGGTGCTCTTCCAACGGTCTCCATTGTTTGAATTGGCATGCTCAAGGAAATGATTTTGATACCAAGTCTTTAATTTAAAGATTGCTTTGAGGTGTTTATAGAGGAAAAAAATACTAAATATTACCCCATGATGTAAAAAATGCACGGTTGCCAATCATTTTACTGATGTCGGATGACTGGTTGGGCAAAAAGGAGCCTTGGGGCTCAGTTGGTAAAATGGGTGTTAAAAGCATTCACGGGTGAAAAGGGAAGAAACTTCTTGGCATGTTGCTGCACTTTTGACAATTTTGAGTGACGAAAATGGACTACAACGAAAAGGTTCATTTCAGTCGACTTCCTTTTTTCCTTTTGTCCCTTGAAGACAAGTTTCCTTGAATATCGCCCTTTGACTGGAGAGTGCAATACAGGACAATGAGAAACTCATTTACAGATGAGAAACAAAGAGTTTTGCTTTGCTTACCAGCTGTTGACTATCAGTCGAGTTGCATTTGGTCGTTGCATGCCATCAAATGGCTCTAGGGTGATGAATCCATTTCCAAGGAACTACATTGGAACATTTTGACAGTGACATTTGCCTAACCGTGAAAACAGTAGCGTCCAGTTGGAAGTACATTTGTGGCAAGAATGAACGCATCTCACTCCAATATTTAGCAGACTCACCTAAGTTTTACAGAGGACCTTTTTAAGGAGATCATGTTGTTACGTAACATTTGTTACGGTCTGTTGTTGAAAAATCAAGAAAAAGTTATGGTACAACTAAAACCTTTATTAGATTAGGAAAGCCATACTTATAGGGCATTGCAGATTTCAACAGCACTGAAAGTACAAAAAACTAACACTCACTTGGTAACTGTACTGACATAAGCAAGAGAAAAAAAACTTTTACACATAAAAGAAAAAAAAAATTGGGAAAGTCAAGACACAGTTCAAAACTAAGCTTCAGATTCCACAAATTTAGACATGGCTAGTTTGTCCTTCCTCCAAAACACGTTTTAAGTGTGCATGGAGACTAACGTTTGGTTTAATGACATTTCCAAGTCCAGTTCAGTATCTGCTGCGAGCCATTCCTCTATCGACTCGACTGCCACCACGGCCACCACGTGGCCCTCCACGACTTGAGCTGTTGTACGAGTCACGAGGAGGGTAGCCTCTCTCGGCAGGGGGAGCTGGGCCCCTATCCTGTCTGCCCATTCGCTCACCACGGCTAGGTGGATATGGGTCACTCCGACTGTTGGGGTAACTGTCACGACTGCCATAGCCATCCCGGGAACTGCTGCCATAGTCATCATAACGACTGCTTCCACTGCTCCCACCATAGGATGGTGGGGGGCCCCTTGAAGGTGGGGCGCTGCGAGAGTTACCTGCAGGGTCAATGGTTCAGGTAATTGGCAAAGTTCAATTTATACATTTTTCTTTGCACGGTCAAGTGCTATTTTTTTTGCCAATAGAATTCATTCTGTGACAAAAAATAAATAAAATTTAATGGATGGCATATTTAAAATGTTCCACCCTTTTAATACTTAACATGGATATTTTGTTGATATGCGCAGTAATATATCCAAGCACAGAACAAATAGGTAGTGGTACCCATTTCAGCATGCCTTTGATTTGAGTAGCCATTTTTCCATTTAGAGATCCAAGTGTAGGTTAGGGTGAGGTTTTCAGTTGTCTTGATGGTTTTTGAAGATTACTCCTTGAGGGAGTACTTTGCTGGACAACACATAACGGGCAACGGATGTTTCCAAGGATTTTTGAGGTTCCTTATGGTTGCAAAAACTTTGAGGTGCATCACATACACATGATATTGCCAAACTCATATTCTCCTGATGAATGCAGGGGTAATGCAGACTTTGGTATGTAGACACTTTTGTTTTTCAGTGGAGATGCCAATGGTAAAATATTGCTAGTAGTATGAAAATATACAACTTGGATTGTAGGTCAGGGAAAGAAAAAAAAATAAATTACCATGTGGTTTCCTCTGAGGATGCAAAAAAAAAAAAAAAAAACTGCAGTATCTTGTGATAGGACAAGGCAGGTTTGGTTGAATATTTGCGCACTTCTTCTTTGTGCCACAGCGATTACACATTGTCATTTCACTCATGGAGTTATGTCTTACCGTAACCATCATATGAGTCTCGGTAGGAGCCACCACTAGGACGGTCCATATAGCTTCTTGGTTCCCTGCCTCCTCCATAACCATCACGGTCACTGCAAAAAGCAATTGTCACTTAACAACCAAGGAAGATCTGACCTCAGGTTTTTACTTTTTGTATCAATCCAGGCTCATACCTGTATCCTCTTGACATTGAGCCGTAGTCATCGCGGGAAGTGGAATTAGAATATTCTCTGTAGGAATAATCTCTGGAAGGTGGCCCATAGTCCCTAGAATCTCTGGAGTAATCCCGACTGGAGTAGCTGTGAAACATTACAATACACCTCAATACTGTTTCCTGAGCATACATTTGTGTTTAATACGTGGACTTTTTAAACAGAAAATTCAAATATAAAAGATGACCACAATAGCTCTAAGTAACAGCAACAATCAGCATGTTACACTATATCAATCTTGAGGTTTGCCATGTATGGTCACACTAGTGTGTATTACGAAAATACCAACCTGTCTTTTGAGTTGTAATGGTCATCTCTGGGTGATGGATAATCATCCCTTCTGGACATCATCGAGTCTCTGCGAGGTGGAGGTGGACCATAGGGATCTCTGTCCCTTGACATGGGAGCTGGAACACATAATGAGAAACTGAGAAGATTAATTACCAAATTAACATGAGACAGAAGTATCCCATCTAGTTATTTGCAAGAGAAACAGAAACTAGATACTAAATTTACTTTATTAAATTTACTTATTTATTTATTGTTTACTCTATTTAATTTGTAAAATATGTGTACACACACACACACACACACAGAAAAATATTTAGTATACACATCCAGAAATGCATATACTATTATATATTGTACATATATTTATTAGTTTCAGATGTAGCCATTCTTGTATTTTGCTTGTTTACATTATTGTATTTTGCACAACTCTGTTGCTTGTGAAGCTCGCACACAAGAATTTCACTCACATGTGCTGTACCAATGTACCTGCACATGTGATGTGACAATAAAAGTGATTTGATTTGATTTGAAATTAAATCTAGAGACTAAAATCTGTACAATTAACCTTTTTTTGGTAATTTCTTCCACATCACTTCCTGCATTTAAATATTGCAGAGTACAAGCACTTACGTCTGCTCATGGGACCAGATGGGGCAGACCTCTTGGGTGGGGGACCTCCATTTCGAATAGGGGGCCCTCGTTTCATTGGAGGGGGGCCTCTGGATGACATCCCTTTAAAGAAGGGTTCTACACTTCCTGAATCATAGTAGTCTTTTAAACAAACAAGAAATGCACATATTAATATACTACATTCAAAAGCTGCAACAAAAATTCATCCAGAGATTATTATATCATTACACAGATTCTTTCAATTTACAAACTGAGCAGACCCAAAAATAAATAAATAAATAAATTACCTCTTGATGGGGGGCCTCTCATTCCACCAGGACCTCCCCTTGAACCACGTGGACCTCTGGGTGGCCCGCGACTGCGAGAGTGCATGGGTGGAGGTCCGCGCCTGCCAGCACTCTCAAACTGAGGTTTTGTAGCTTGCTCAACCTTGATAGGCTTGCCATCAAGAGACTGGTAGAAGAGTTACAAGTATAAATCATGTTTTTTTAGCTGATTCTTTTTTATTTTTATTACAGCCAATTCGAGTCATCACTTACCTTTCCATTCATTTCGCGTGCTGCATCCTTTGCATCAGCAGGACTTTCAAAAGTTACAAATGCAAAGCCTCTTGATTTGTTTGTTTCACGATCCTTCATCAAAAGAACTGAAATAAAGGAATTGATGATCAGAAGTGAGCTTGTGTTTTTCAATTAGCCAAGTTAAATACAAAAGTGACTCATTTTAAGTTTAAATTAGATATGGGCACACTTCTATGACACCCCATAATCGAAAGTGACTAATTTCGGTTTCTTTGTGTCCCTTTCATGGTTCATAGGTTTTTTATTTCCCTCAGCAAGACTATACGGCCATTTACAGTAAATACAGTATTATACATTAGAGTTTGGAAGAACAGGCTTTCTTTTAAATGAAGTGGAAAAAATGTCACAAACTATGTGGATAACGTAGAAGATAGTAAAACTGCAAAGTTAGTGTATTAAAAAGGGGTTATTCAGATTTCCCTACGCTGTAACAGTAAATTTAAATATACACACAGATGAATAAAAATTTGTTCCAGTATTTCGCTACCACCCATTTGCCAGAATAAAGGCGCCAAACAGCAAACACTGAGCAATTTTAGAAGCACTTTATCCAGGATATGCACTGAACATGATATGGCCAAAAGGGGTTCCATTCCCACCTTCCACAATCCTGCCATATTTGCTGAAGTACTGCTCCAAGGCCTTTTCGGTGGTCTCCGTATTCAGTCCGCCGATGAAGAGCTTCCCTGGTCGGTCGGCCTCCGCCATGCTCCGAAGTCTGCTACCTAAAAGGAAAGAAAGACCATACATTTAACTTAAAAATGAGCATCAACCCTGAAACAAAAAGGAACGCTGTATCCTGAAATAAACAGCCACACATTACTTTGGAATTACCTTTCTGCTGCCAAAAGTAGGGAGCTACTGAATGCGCAAAATGGCGATAAAAATGCTACCGATTTCAGCTGCTTCTTTAGCCCGTTAGCTAATAAGTATTTCGCTCCTAACAAAAGATTCTGCTTCACGTCTACCAACAAGCTACTTTAAAAGCAAATATAAAAAAAATTACAGCTTAAATTTTAGCATGCATGCATACACACAACTAACTGCATTACCCCGCGACTTTATCAAAGCTACAGCGACGATAAAAATGGTTCCTCTCTCCGCCTTCTCACCCTTCTTCTTCATTTCCGTTTCCCGTAGACCAGTTGACCCCAATTGTGATGCTGCCGCCTAGAGTCCAGAAGCATTACTCCATATTCTACAATGCCATGTCATTCTACATGTTCAAAAATACTCGCACTTAAAAATATATATTGCATAATTTGAGCAGTTCAGTCAGAATTCGTCATAGTACATAAACCGTATTAGGTTACAAATGATCTTCTTATGGCCTCTGACACTAGACTAGTCTCTTTGCTTATCCTGCTAGAACTCAGTGCAATATTTGTAACTCTTGAATATAATATTTTACTACAGAGATTAGTCAGTGCTGTAGGTATTAAAGGAACTGCACTGAAGTGATTGTAATCATATCTATCTAATAGATCCCGATTTTTAAATGTAAATGTGGAATCTTCTTTGCACACTAAGGTTACATATGGACCAATTCTAATTACATTTCCTTGCTTTCCTTGTTAGAATGCATTGCATACACTTTCACTGTAATGCAGTTTAATCTTCACTTTATTTATCCTTGAAGCCTGATGAACAGCAACAATTAGTTAAACTGCTGGAATGTCATAAAGACATAAAAGCTGGGATGACCACTAGTTTACTGCTTCTAAATTTAGATAAAACTGATGATTACACTATAGGCCATACAATTAGAAACATCCCGTCTCAGAGTGTTGCTGAAAAAATGGACATTTATCACTTCTAGGCTGGACAATTGTAATTTGTTATTATCAAGTCTAAAACCTCCCTAAAGAGCCTTCAGTTGATCAAGAATGCTGTAGCAACAGTGCTAATAGGCACTAGAAACAGAAACCATATTTATCCTATATGAGCTTCTCTTCACTGGCTCTGTTAAATCCAGAATCCAATTTGAAATCCTTCTCCTTACATACAAGGTCTTGACTCATCAGGCCCCATCTTATCTTAAAGACCTCATAGCACCATATTGTCCCTCTATTGCAGCACAACTAAGGGAGGATTCAGGGTCACCTGGTCCAGCCCTAACTATGTGCTTTAGCAAAAAGGAAAGTTTTAAGCCTAATCTTAAAAGTAGAGATAGTGTCTGTCTCCCGAATCCAAACTGGAAGCTGGTTCCACAGAAGAGGGGCCTGAAAACTGAAGGCTCTGCCTCACATTCTACTTTTAAATACTCTAGGAACAACAAGTAAGCCTGCAGAGCGAGAGCGAAGTGCTCTAATAGGGTGATATGGTACTACAAGGTCATTAAGATAAGATGGGGCCTGATTATTTAATACCTTGTTTGTGAGGAGCAGGATTTGGAATTAAATTCTGGATTTAACAGGAAGCCAATGAAGGGAAGCCAATACTGGAGAAACATGCTCTCTCTCTGGTCCCTGTCAGTACTCTTGCTACAGCATTTTGGATTAACTGAAGGCTTTTAACCATTAGTTATTTTTAAACTATGCACTGAATCATTAGTTTATTTTTAAAATATGACTCTCTTCCACTCTCTTCCACAACTGGTCACAGCATGTGGCTGCCCCTCCCTGGGCCTGGTTCTGCCAGAGCCTGGTTCTGCCTGGAGTTTCTTTCTGTTTCACCTTGTGGTGACTGTTGTGATTTGGCACTATATAAATTAAAAAAAAAAAAATTAAAATATCATTATGAACACATGAGTTAATAGTTGGCAAGCAAATTTTATAATATAATGATAAGCTACATTTAAGGGTATTAGTAATTTTCTTAATCATTAGAAAGCCAGCTGGTTGAATTGATATATCTGTGTAGGTATAGAGATGTCTAAGAGAGAGAGCAGTGGATTTTTTTAATCATGGGATGCCTGAGGAATGGAGAAGTGTACAAATTTTCAATAACAATGTGTAAGGACTATCAGGAGGGGCAAAAACACATGTGACAGTGATACACAACATGTATGAGCACACCAAAACAGTGGTATATAATAGATAGGTCTTAAGAAACTATACAAACAATGAGTGCAAAACTGCATATGTTTATATGACCTGAATGATATAACAGTGGGTCATTTCACAGAGTTCATCAGAGTGACAGCCTGGGGAATAAACTGTTTCTGTGGTAACTGGTTTTGGCAAACAACACTGTAGCGCCTGCCTGAAGGCAGCAGTTGAAAGAGTTTGTCTGGGAGTGTCCTGCTTCGTGGCTGAGTGGAACCAGACACACAGGACAGACTGGATGATGGCTGTGTAGACAAAATAATTGTAGTTGTATTGTAATTGGCGACTATTCCCATTTTATAATGCACTAGGTTTTTCTTGAATATACTATCTTTTGTATGTAAAATTAAATTGTTAAAAAAAGGATGTTGAATTACAAGATGTTGTCTCATACAAGTTATTTAAATCAAATTGAATTACAAAACTGCAGATAATTCAGTCAGTCCCATATTAACTTATCCCTGTTTAGAATGTGCCAATTGGGAAGAACAGTCACCTCAAGGTGCTTTATACTTAAGGTTCCTTAAGATCCTACATTTTTTGAGAAAACCCCAACAATCCAATAACATACTATGAGCAAGCATATTTCAACAATCACAAGGACGAATTCCCTTTCAGCAGGAAAGCAGAACCAGCAGAGCCAGCTCAGGGAGGTGCAGCCATCTGCTGCAACCGATTGGCAAGAAAAACCATGAGTACCAATAAATGTTCATGTTTTTATAGATGCTTGCTTGGTAGAAACATTAAAATTTTATGTGTTTAAAAAGCAAATGCTTCCATATTGTTTTCTAACTATAAAGAATGTTTATGTTCAATAAAGTTGCAGTTACAGTGCCCTTTTTAATAGGGGACTTGAACAGCATTAAGAGCTTAAAAAAGGAGGAATGTTTTAAGTTTGTTAAAATGTTTCACCTCTCATCCTAATGTTTCTTCAGTTCAGCTATGAACTGAATAGCAAAGCTTTCATAAAACCAATGCAGTACAGGGTGGGCCATTTATATGGATACACTGTAATAAAATGGGAATGGTTGGTGATATTAAAGTCCTGTTTGTGGCACATTACGGTAGTATATGTGAGGGGGCAAACTCCTCAAGATGGGTGGTGGCCATTTAGAAGTCGGCCATCTTGGATACAACTTTTGTTTTTTCAATAGGAAGAGGGTCATGTGACACATCAAACTTATTGGTAATGTCACAAGAAAAACAATGGTGTCCTTGGTTTCAACGTAACTTTATTCTTTCATGAGTTATTTACAAGTTTCTGACCACTTATAAAATGTGTTCAATGTGCTGCCCATTGTGTTGCATTGTCAATGCAACCCTCTTCTCCCACTCTGCACACACTGATAGCAACACCGCAGGAGAAATGCCAGCACAGGCATCCAGTATCCGTAGTTTCAGGTGCTGCACATCTCGTATCTTCACACCATAGACAATTGCCCTCAGATGACCCCAAAGATAAAAGTCTAAGGGGGTCAGATCGGGAGACCAATCCACTTTCCAGGAAACTGTTCATCTAGGAAAGCTCGGACCTGGCACCCATAATGTGGTGGTGCACCATCTTGCTGGAAAAACTCAGGGAACGTGCCAGCTTCAGTGCATAAAGAGGGAAACACATCATCATGTAGCAATTTCAGATATCTAGTGGCCTTGAGGTTTCCATTGATGAAGAATGGACCCACTGTCGTTGTACCCCATATACCACACCAAACCATCACTTTTGTTGTTCCAACAGTCTTAGAGGGATCCATCCAATGTGGGTTAGTGTCAGACCAATAGCGGTGGTTTTGTTTGTTAACTTCACCATTCACATAAAAGTTTGCCTCATCACTGAACGAAATCTTCTGCGTGAACTGAGGGTCCTGTTCCAATTTGTTTTGTCCATTCTGCAAATTCTGTGCGCCGATCTGGGTCATCCTCGTTGAGATGCTGCAGTAGCTGGAGTTTGTAAGGGTGCCATTTGTGAGTAGCTAATATCCGCCGAAGGGATGTTCGACTAATGCCACTCTCCAGTGACATGCGGCGAGTGCTACGCTGTGGGCTCTTGCTGAATGAAGCTAGGACAGCCACTGATGTTTCTTCATTAGTGACAGTTTTCTTGCGTCCACATTTTGGCAAATCCAACACTGAACCAGTTTCACGAAACTTAGCACGCAGTTTGCTAATTGTAGCATGGGAGATGGGTGGTCTTGTAGGGTGTCTTGCATTGAAATGACCCGGTTACTGCGTTCACCAGATATCAACACAATTTCGATCCGCTCCTCACGTGTTAACCTCTTCGACATGTCAATGGCTGTGAACAAAGAGAAACTTGTAAATAACTCATGAAAGAATAAAGTTACATTGAAACTAAACACACCATTGTTTTTCTTGTGACATTACCAATAAGTTTGATGTGTCACATGGCCCTCTTCCTACTGAAAAAACAAAAGTTGTATCCAAAATGGCCAACTTCTAAATGGCCACCACCCATCTTGAGGAGTTTGCCCCCTCACATATACTAACGTGCCACAAACAGGACTTTAATATCACCAACCATTCCCATTTTATTACGGTGTATATGTATGTATCCATATAAATGGCCCACCCTGTAGAATGCATTTGCCCGTTTTAGCTTGCAGTTATTTATACTTTACATTTAAAATGAACCTTTGCTTTCTCGGTATTGTTTCAAACGCATTTTCTCTTGCTGTTAGTTCTCTTATAGCTTACATTATGGATTATAAGTATGTCATTTTCCAACTTTTACGAATGCTTGATTGAAAACAAGGACTGCTATGAGTTATCAATAAGCAACGTCAGTCTTAATTCCACGGTGTCATTGACTTCCGATTTTCTCCTGTTAAATTAAAAGCATAAAAAGCGCATTAACGTATGGAATTGTACTTTTAATTTGTTTTTATTCAAAATAAAGTAACCTAAAACATACCCCTGGCATATATACACCAGTTATTAATTCTTTAAATCTTTAGAGGTAACAGCTTAATTATTATATACATTTATTTTGAGGGTAAAATATTTTAACATCCGGTATACGTCTTGTGACTTCCGCATAGCTTGACAGAGGTGG